CCCTGACATCGCCGCCTGCCTGAGTTACGAAAGCCTTTTCGAACTCAGGCCCAGACACAGACGCCGATGCCTGTTTTTTCTGCCCATTACGAACTCCCATGTGACATAAACGTACTTCCCCCTTAAATTTATTATGAGTGTAAATAGCTTTTTTCTCCCGTGAAGTCTTCACACGTAAACGTCCATGCCTGGTCGATCCAGTCAATGTTAGGAAGACGGGTTAACTACCCGCGCGCGACTCACAGCCCGAGACGACCACAAGCGACGCCGAGGAGCCAGGGTGGGCTTCGCGAGCGCCGTGCGAGACACAGCCCGGTCGCACAAACGACCATGAGCGACGCCGAAGAGCGAGCCGCGAGCGAGTGTCGGCCGACGAATTGACCGAATTTTCTCTCCCTCCCTCCCTCCCAGAGAGAGTCAGTCGGAGGTGAGTGCACGTAGAGGGAAGTGAGAGAGAGGTGCAGAACTGCGGAGCGAGCGTGGGCGGGAGAAGAATTTCTTCGAGGAAGAAGACGAGAGAGAGAGAGAGAGAGAGAGAGAGAGAGAGAGAGAGAGAGAGAGATACGGCACGACCGAGTGCTGATCGGTGAGAGAGAGAGAGAGAGAGACGGCACGACCGAGTGTTGATCGGTGAGAGAGAGAGAGAGAGAGAGAGAGAGAGAGAGAGAGAGAGAGAGAGAGAGAGAGAGAGAGAGAGAGAGAGAGAGAGAGGAGAGGGAGAGAGAGAAGGGAAGAAAGAGAGAGAGAGAGAGAGAGAGAGAGAGAGAGAGAGAGAGAGAGAGAGAGAGAGAAGACGGCTCAGAAGGCACCAGGGAGAGCGTCGGCGGAGAAGCGACCAAACGTGCGTTCGCTGAGGGACTGGGAGGGGTGTGAACGTGAAGGGAAGCAGGAGAGGTTGGCACAGAGAGAGAGAGAGAGAGAGAGAGAGAGAGAGAGAGAGAGAGAGAGAGAGAGAGGGAAGTTTGAGAGCAAGAAGGCAGTTAACCTCTACCCCGAATCCGCCCCGATCACGATGCAGCAGCCATGGAGGTTTTCAGCGTTGTCGTCCCCTTGGGCTCAGATGTTTCGCTCTTCTGCAGGAGAGCGCAGGTCGACGACCACTGCTGCTGATGCTGATGCTCGTCGTTCTCGTCCTCCGAGCGAAGTAGAAGGGAGGGGGGATAGGCCGACGTCCCTAGTGGAGGCAAGGAGAGAGGAGGACGGGGAGAATGTAGTCGGTGCTCCCACCAGTTCTGAAGCGTCGGCCGCACCGGATGCACCAGGCAGCAGCAGTAGATGGACGGCATCCGATTGTCCGGCCGTGACTCTGTTTCCCCCCTTCAGTGCCTTCACCACTCTTGAGAACTCCAAGGCTAGCGCCACTCCGGATGAGCAGTCCGCGGAGTCAGGCACAGGAGGAAGAAGGAGCAGGAGGAGGTTGCGTCGGGCTGGCACGACCTTGCCAGCAGCTGAGGGAGAGAGAAAGGAGAAGGAGAAGGTGGATGGTGTTCCCCTCCTGCCGAGAGCGGCATTAGCACGGGCCCCACGGGGGAATGCACCACCCAGATCGACCATGATGGCCGACCTTCCCGCGGAGACTCCTGCGCCTCCCCCCCTTGCACCGCCCCCCGCCGACGCTGGTACTGCCTTGCAGTCTCTTCCGCGCGTTCCCGCCGGTATCCCGTTCACCCCGTGCCATCCATGGCCGCGCAGGATGGATGGGGTAATAGGCGGCGAAGGGGGTTCTTCCGTAGCTCCTCCTTCGCGGGTATACGCCGGGGAGGGGGAGGAGGCCATTCTCTCTTCTCTTCCTCCCACTGCGGGCGAATCCATTGTCCCCCTGATGGGGGTGATCGATCTTCCCCCCCGTCTTCTACCTCTGAGGGAGGGCAACGCCGCTGTACTCCCTGGAAGGGAGGAGGAGGAACAAAGGGGTGGGGAACACCCCTTTTTTCCCCCTTCTCCACAGGAGAACCAGATTCAGAAGAATCAGAAGTCTCTTCAAGTTCTTTACTTGCCTTATGGCAGTGACCATTGCACTCGACCTCAACCTTCCACGTGTCAAGCGTTGGCTACTCCTGCTGCTGCGGCACGAACATCTGCTAACCTCTACCCGAACGGCTCTCAATCAGCAACCAATCCTGCACCAGCAGCTGCTGCTACAGCTGCTGATCTGTATGGTGCCAATCAATCTCTGCCACCAGCAGCTGCTGCTAGTGCAGCTGATTTGTACAGAAGTCGCCTCCAAAGCATCAATCCTGCACCAGCAGCTGCTGCTACAGCCGCTGATTTGATCGCCAAGGCCCTCCAAGCAAATAATTCTGTACCAGCAGCTGCTGCTACAGCTGCTGATCCGCACAGAAATGGCCTTGAGGCGACCAGTGCTGCAGCAGCAGTAGCAGCAGCTTCTGCTGATCGGTATGGAGGCTACGGCCCTTGTGGTCGATACAATGAATCGGCGACTCTGTGTACGTCTTCGCCTCATTGTCGTAGGCTTTGGCCTCCGCCCCCTAGTACCCCTACTAGTGCTGCCGCTGCTGATCTGTACGGAACTCGATGTCAACCAATCAATCCTACAGCTTCAGCTGCCGCTGCTGATCTGTACGGAACTCGATGTCAACCAATCAATCCTACAGATTCAGCTGCCGCTGCTGATGTGTACGGAACTCCATGTCAACCAATCAATCCTACAGATTCAGCAGCAGATCTGGATCATCGGAGTTGCCGATACAATCAATCAGCGGACCCAAATACGTCTCCGCCTGATTATCCTAGTCTGTGGCTGTGGCCTAGTCCGTCCCCTGGTTCCATTCCTTATCCCTCCAGGACGGTGTCACGTCTACCTTCCTCGTTGGCTGTTCCAGAAGATCGCTTGGGGATGGGACAGTCGCTGCTGCCGTTCGCCACGTGTCAAGCGACGGCTCGTGCAGCAGCAGAAGCTGATCTGATTGGGTGCAATCGCCATGAACCAATCAAGCAATCGCCGGCTGCACGGAGAAGGTCGTCACGTGGCTGTGGACAACCGCCCAATCCGACGAGGTCAACGAGGTCAACGAGGTCAACGAGGTCAACAAAGTCAACGAAGTCGGCAGCGCTGGCAATCCATCGTCCTGTGTTGCCTCGGGGTGTAGAAGATCATGTTCGGGGGATTGCACGACAAACTGCCACGTGTCAAGTGACGGTTAGTGCTATGCCATCTGATTGGCTGTCTGGGTATTGCCGAACCCAGCAATGGGCGGGGGGAGCTCTGCCTCCCTCCCCCTCCCCCTCCCCCTCCCTCTCCCCATGGCCATCTCCACTGCCTGCCGTGTGTCCTGCTGCTGCTAGTTTGCAGACGACGGCAGGAAGGTCTTCATCGTTGCCTGCGGCAGAAGATTACGGGATTGCAGGGCAACCTGCCGCCACGTGTCCTCCGATTATTACCCAGGAGGCAGACGGGAATACACCGGAGGGGAGAAGAATGGGAGGAGGCGGCGGGTGCATAGGGGAAGAGGAGGTGGTGGATTGCCTGCTACCGGCAGGAGTAGGAGGTGGATTACTCGTGGATCCTCCTCCTCCTCCTCCTCCTCAGTCGATGGGGGCGATGGGGACCACCACCGGAAACGTGGACAACGTTGCAGAGAGGAGGGATATGGAGGTTGAAGGGGATAGGACGGTGGCAGGTCGAGGAGGAGGAGAAGGAGGAGGAGGGATGGGAGGAGGAGGTGGTTGCCCAGGGGAGGAGGAGGAGGTGGATTGCCAAGGACCGGCAGTAGTAGGAGGTGGATTACTCGTGGATCCTCCTCCTCCTCCTCCTCCTCCTCAGTCGATGGGGGCGATGGGGACCACCACCGGAAACGTGGACAACGTTGAAGAGAGGAGGGATGTGGAGATTGAAGGGGATAGGACGGCAGCAGATCGAGGAGGAGGAGGAGGGATGGGAGGAGGAGGTTGTTGCCCAGGGGAGAAGGAGGAGGTGGATTGCCAAGGACCGGCAGTAGTAGGAGGTGGATTACTCGTCGATGCTCCTCCTCCTCCTCCTCCTCAGTCGATGGGGGCGATGGGGACCACCACCGGAAACGTGGAGAGGTTTTACCAGAGGAGGGATACGGAGATCGAAGGGGAGAAAACGGCGGCAGATCAAAGAGGGGTGGGAGGAGGGATGGAAGGAGCGATGGGAGGAGGAGGAGGAATGGAAGTCGGATCCGACGGAAAGAAGCAGATCGAAGAGCCAGAGAGGGTGTGGACCACCACCGGAGACGGGACAACGGGGACCACCACCGCAGACGGGGCGATGGGGACCACCACCGCAGGCGGGACAGTGGTTCATAGATTGGGATTGCGAACAGGCAAGAAGAAGATGGGGGCGCGAAAGAGGGAGGAGGTTGATGGGGATAGTAGAACGGAGGTTTACCAGGGAAGACCCCGTCGGCGCAAACGACTCTCCCGCCGGCTGGACTTGGGCGCAGAAGAGCTCTCGGACACGTCAACGCCCAACGGACTGCCTCCGTTAATACCCTCAGGCGGAGCTTTCGCTGGAGCTGTCTGTGGAACTGTCGGTGAACCTTCGTTCGCCGATCAGGCACACCAGCAATATCCACCACCAGCTTCGTCCCAACTCTATGGTCAATCTCCTCCGGTATCGACAGACGTGGCAGCAGCAGAGCCGCAGCGCGAGATGTCACTGGCAGCGCTACACAGCGTGGAAGGTAGGAGGCAATTGGGAGAAAGTCCATCCCCAGCTGCAGCGATGGAAGGGGAGATTGACTGCCTACCGGTAGTACACGGAGTACCGGTCCGTCTAGACGGAATACCCTTCAATCCCGAGCAGCCAGTCAGGGTCGCTGTGGCCAGAGAGAAAAGGATCGCAACAGAGGGATTGACGGAGGTTGGAAGGGGGGGAAAAGCAGTTGGTGGTCAAGGAGGAGGAGGAGGAGGAGGAGGAGGGGGAGGAGGAGTCCCATCTTGTTGCTTCGGCTCTGTGTCCAACTCACTTCAGCTTGCAGTCGCGTTCGCTAAAGCCGTTGCCGGAGGTGCTAACCCCACCGAGCTACCTGCGTTAGCACAATGCGGAGGAGGTCATGGTGCCGCTCGGTCTTTTTTCTGCGAAGAAATGGCCAGGCAAGAGCGGCAGCACGGGATGCGGGGATCACACAGTACCCCCGTGAACAGAACGGGAGGAGGAACTTCAAGTTGTCTCGCGGGAAGGAGAGAGGTGGTGGGTTACCTACCTGCCGAGGAGGAGGATCATGGGCCGAGCCAAGGGATGCTGGGGGCACACAGGACCCCCGTGAGCAGAACGGGAGGAGGAGAAGGAGGAGGAGGAGAAGCTTTTAAGGGTGGGGAGGAGAGAGGTGGTGGGTTGCCTACCTGTCAAGGACGAGGATGGGCCAAGCCAAGGGATGCTGGGGGCACACAGGACCCCCGTGAGCAGAACGGGAGGAGGAGGAGGAGGAGGAGGAGGAGGAGCTTTTGCGGGGGCGGGGAGGACAGAGGTGGTGGGTTGCCTACCACTACCTGTAGGACCGCCGGCCTGTAGGACCCGCCGGCGGGGGAGTGGCCGCGGCCGTAGGTCCGGATCTGGGTTGGGACGAAGGAGACAGCAGCAGACGGAAGGGGAGGACGGACTTGGGAGAGAGAGAGGATGTTGGGCGCGGGCACGAGAGAGGTCGAGATCCCGGTTGCCGACTGCGATTGTTGGGATCCTGCCTCCTCTCCTCTGGGCCTCTTCCTCCAGTGGAAGAGCCATTCGGTGGCGGCTCAAGAAAGCCAACAGGAGGCAACAAACGAGCTTCGTAATGACCCATCATTAGCGCCATCACGTGGACGTGGACCACGTGGTCCCGAGTGGTTGTTCTCGGCTGACGTGGCACAGCGACAGCGGCAGCAGCAGCTCGACCATGGCATGTTCAGCGCTACCAGCCTAGCATTTCCACGATATCGTTATGATCAATTAATGAGACTTGGCTAGAAGACTCGACTAAAAATAGAGAAATGAAGAGTATAGATTGAATGACTATTATTTATTTTGAATTTAGTATGAATGTGTATGGCAAGATAAATCGTAGCCGGGGGTGGCCTGCTGCAGAGTCCCAGCAGCAGGAGCAGCAGCTGGGGGCAGGTGGGCGAGGTGGGGCGGCCGGGCCAGTCGTTGACGTCAACCGTATTTGGTGCCCATGCACGTCCGCCGAAGAGGGGAGAGATTGGAGAGAGAGGGTGGAGCGCGGCGATGGAGTGATGGCGGGGGGAGTGAGTGTTTCCCACGTGCGCGCGCTGGGAGGGGGGGGAAGAAGGGGAGCGGAACACTCGATCGTTGCTGGCGGGTTGTGGGATGTTTTCGTGGTTCTCCGAAGAGAAAGAGGAGGGAGGAGGGAGGGAGGAGGGAGAGCGGAGCGGAGGTGGGAGGATGGGGAGGGCGTTGTTGCGCGCGGCAGAGCTGCAGCATCCTTGGGCCTTGACTTCGGTCTCGTCTTCACTGATCCTAAGGCGCTCGTTCGCCGCGTCTCCACGAGCAAGCACGACGGCCGCAGTGGGAGAAAGGGGAGGCGGAGGAGGAGGAGGATAACGATGCTGCTCCCAGTGGAATAACCTCTCTCTCTCTCTCTCCCCATAGGTGGGGTCGGACATGGACGGATGCGTGCACCTCCATTGAGCTCAGGATTTTTTCTCTTCTGCTTAGGATTTTCTTTTTTGCTTTCGGGGAATTTTTTGGCAGAGGATTGTTTCTGCGGAAATTCGGCACTTTTGTTTTAGAAGGAGAGGGGGGGGGGGGGTACATCCCCCCTGGTTAGAGAGAGGCGATTTTGCGGTCCGGGAGACAAGAATTTTGTAGTATAGAGAAGTAGCATGCTTTTTTTTTTTTTTTTTTTTTTTGGGGGGGGGGGGGGGTGTTGTTGGAGAATTGCTACTTTCACAAAATGAAGGGATGGGCTTTGTCTTTCCTCGTTCTCGGTGCGAATTTTACGAACCTTTTCTCTTTTTTCTTGTTTTTTTGGGTTCGCGCAGAAATCAAGTACTCCATCAAACAGACCTTGTCAACCGAATGGTCGCTTAAAGTTGCTAACAAAGCGTTCTCTGCAAAGGCTCTCAAAAGATTCCACATACACTGGGCCCAGTTCACGGGTCTGGTGGTGATGTCTGCTCAATCTGGCCATACTCCGGAACTTCAATTTTCTTCCTTTTTTCTTTAGGACCGGAGTCTTGGTTACACATGTGTGAATCTTCCTTTTAGTGAGTTCCCTTTTCTGCATCCCTTCATCATTGTAGAAACCATACTAGTAAGAGACATTGACTGCTCTACTTCTCTTTCTGGCCTTTTTTGTGCATAGCATTAGAGGATGAGGCTGTTCAGTTGTAGAGGCAGTTCAGTAGTAGAGGCAGTTCAGTAGAACAACTGTAGTTAGATATTAGTGGTCACACATTGATTTGCTTCAATTTCTGGTTTTCTCTTTCAGTAGTACAACTGTAGTTAGATTAACTTAGATATTAGTGGTCACACAGTGATTTGCTTCAATTTCTGGTTTTCTCTCTGGTTTTCTTTCTGGCTTTCTGTACAGGACATTGAGGTGAGGGAGGCAGTTTAATATTAGCAACTGTATCATACTCTTAGCCAAATAGTGATTTGTTTCTACTTTCAGCTTTTCTTTTTCAGGCTTGTTGTGCATAACATCATGGTGAGTGTCACTCAGTGACTCAGTGACTCAGTGACAGCCTAGTTTTTGGGCTTGACGGGTGATGTCTAGCCTTAAAACGGGACTGTGGAATTTTTGTAAGGGACGCCAGGCCCGTTTCCTGGATTTGTAATATAAGGGACACCGGAAAAAAAACAATGCCCCTGCCCTTAAAAAAAAAAAAAAAAAAAAAAAAAGAGAACTGGTACTTTGACAAAAGGAAGGATGGAAGTTGATTTTTTTTTTGTTGTTGTGCTTTTCTGCTTAAATTTTGCCTTGTTGCATTGAGACGACGAGGGAAATTTAAAGTGTAGTGATGGGAATGGATTTTTTTTTTTTTTTTAATCCATTTGTCGATTTATGCTTGTCATCCTTGCGCAGGGGCCATTTTGGTAATTTACCCTTTTCTGTATTCTTCCAATTTTAACGGATGTCTCGAAGGACAGGAGTGGCTTTTTTTCTCGGCCACTGACTTGCACAGGATTACAGAAACAGGCCACTCGAAATGCACCTAGCCGAAAAGGACGACCATGTTCAAGCATGCATGATGCACCTGGCCCTTTCAGGTACAGTTTTAGGATAGTGGTCTGTTATTTGTTGCAAAATGTTTTTAATAACTTTTTATATGATCGTGGCTATGTACACTTCTGTGGCGAGGTCCCACTAGCAAAGAGGATTGGATTAAGCTCCTCCTGAATCTGGTCGTGTTTTAAGCAGAGATGCAGAAAAAAAAACATGTAATGAACCCAGTCTGGCAGATACTCATCAGTCCTCAAGCACCAGTAGACTCGGTATCTACAGCAAAGTCTCCAAATTGTTGTGAAGTGATATCTGAAACAGTATCTCATTACCATTAGACGAAGAGAGTGGAGGGCGATTAGACAGAGGAGAAGGTGGAAGAGATGGTCAAAGATCACACAAGAGTAATCCCATCAAATCCCAGGGACCCAGTCCTTCTTCGGGCTTCTTCGCCGTCCACCTCAACAACCAGTGTATGATAACAAGTATAATAATCTTGATCACACAGTAGTGCCACGTGGGCCGTGGCACTATTTGCCTCATGAAGACTATGAAGACACAGCTGCAGTATTACAGTGACGATGTGAGCCTCAGGTGAGTACCCGATCCCAATCATCCACAGATCCCAATCTCCCTCCTCCTCGCAACCAGGCACCTCATGTAGACAGCGTGGACAATGCCACGTTAGCGGTCGAGACAGGTGGCATACACCAGTAACACCACATCATCAATGAAGACCAGTGGCACGTGCCACATCAGCAATGTAGACTAGTGGCAAGCGCCTCATCAGCATGCAATATAGTCCAGAGGCAGTGCCACATCAATATGCAACGTAGACCAGAAGCAGCGCCACATCAGCATGCAATGTAGACCAGAGGCAGCGCCACATCAGCATGCAATGTAGACAGATGACAGCGCCATATCAGCAATGTAGACAAGTCGCCTGCACCACATAAGCCTTGAAGACAGGTGGCAGCACCACATCAGCAATGCCTGGCGCACAATGCAGAACGCGCCAGCATGCTGTCGCCGTCCACAATGCCTGCGCACAGCCAGCGTCTCGCCAGCCAGCGTCTGGTCGAAGTTGATCCAGCCTCCATTGCCCTCCAAGTAGCATAGCAAGACTGAACGTTGAGTCCTTGTTGACCACCTCGAGGCCAGCGGCCAGCCTTTAAGTAGCATTTGGCGAGGCTGTCTGGCCTTGAGTCCCTTTGAATTCCCGCAGCCGTCCAGACTCCAGATTGCCTCACAGCCGAGGGCCCCGATTGTGTACCGTTGCGGCGTTGCAGACTTCCCCCAGATTGCCTCACAGCCGAGGGCCCCGATTGTGTACCGTTGCGGCGTTGCAGACTTCCCTTTAAATTTGACGTGATGCTGTCTGGGTACCTGTTACTACCTGCACACAAACAAATGTGTGTGCCTGACCGGCGGCCTGGGCTGGGTACCTTTGGACTTTGACTGTTCGTGTCACGATGATCGACTTTTGTCAACTGTCACACTTCCAGGCCCTGGGTACCTTTGGACTTTGACTGTTGATGTCACGACAATTGACTTTTGTGAAATGTCACACACGTCCAGGCCCTGAATACCTGTGGACTTTGACTGTTGGTGTCACCACAATTGACTTCTGTCAACTGTCACACGTCCAGGCCCTGAATCCTCATGTGGGGTCTTTTTCCCCCGTATTGGCCTGCAGTGGGCTGAGGGCAGCCGGGTAGGCCATCAGATATTCCACGAGACATATGGCATGGGTTATTGCAAAGTTGCAAACAGTTCAATCTGGATTTTGTGCACCTTATAGTTACCGAAAACACGTCCAGATTCAGGGATTCAATCCAATCCGCTTTGCTAAGGGGACCTCCCGGCTGGTTGTTCGCACGATTACGGGGAAAAGCAAATCGTCCGGTTTATTTAATCATAAATGTGCTCTTCTTCTTCTTCTTTTTTTTTTTTTGGGTTCTTTTTCAAATCCTTGTTTTTGTCTGCTTTTGCCACGTGGGAAGAGCTTGTATGTTGCCATTGGGTCCCAGTCCGTCAGAATTCGAACGACTGGTCTGAGTAGTAGTGAGGAACACTTTCTTGCTCTTCGGCGGGCCAAGTCCCACTAGCAGCATTGAGTTTCCTCAACGCCTGAATCTGGACGTGTTTGTGGAGAGGTGCGGTTGAGGAAACTCAACTCGATTTCTGCACACCTCCACAAATACGTCCACATTCAGTCGTTGAGGAAGCTCAATGCTGCTCCTGGGACTTGGGCCCGCGTTGTTTGTTGAGGATTCCCGGGAATCCCGGCCTCTTCCTTTTTTTTTCCCCTAATCAAATGACCATAAAAAACAAAGAAATAAAAAGAGCTGGAAAGATTAAAATAGAAGAAATTGTGCAAAGTGTGAAGAGCTGGTGTGTGAGTTAAAATTGAAAAAAAAAAAAAAAAAAAAGGGCCACGTTTGGAGAGCCAATGTCTCGTCCTTTCAAGTCCACAAATCCGTCAAAATTGGAGCGAAAAAAAAAAAGAAAAAAAAGAACGATAGAGAGAAGGTTAAACATTAATTTGGAAAAGATACAGGGAAAAAGACTGGCTTTTCTTCTTCTTCTTTTTTTTTTCTTCCAAGAACGTCATTTTTTTCTCTTCTACAGCCAGTGAATGGGCTGGTAGAAAGGCTGATAGAAAACTAGAAATTGAAACTCTACTCCCCTGCCTCAATCTTCTTATTGGTAATATCAGCCTTGGGCACTGGGCCCGGTTAAAAAAAAAAAAAAAAAAAAAAA